AGTATAGACCAGTACCCGACTCCTCAGCATTTTTCAGGAGCTTCTGTGTTATTTTAACACCATACCCTCATTATCCCTGGTAGGATGTGAGGTTGCAGTCCAAACCTGACCTTCCCTGCAAATTGCTAGTTTATTGCTCACAGCCTCTTGTCAGAGATTTCTCTGTGAAGCATATCACCGCCAGTGCAAGGAACATCCACAGTCACCTGCTTGTTCTTCTAGCAAACCTGCATCTGGACTAATGATTTTAAAAACCATCATTGAGGGTTTTCCAAGAGAGCATCTTCAAGTCTTGGGCAGATCTTGCATGGTGTGTCACTAAACCGTACTCTTGCAGCTGGTGGAAAAAATGTCACTAGTAGGGTGACGGGTGTGGAGGTTGTCCAGGTTGTTCTTATCCTCTTTGAGAGAAAAGACAGCCTAAGTAGGAATACCATAGCATTTCAGGCTTCAGACTCTATTGCTAGGCTGTTGCCCTAGTGTCAAGCAGACAGGGTTTGTTGATTTGCCTTTTTGGTTTGATGGGTTTTTTTAATAAATTATTTCCCCATCACTACCCCAGAAGCAGCATGGTTCTGAGGTGCCGCTGTCACCCACTTGTTCTCATCCAAGATGATGTCCATGCACCAGCTCAGACTAGTCCCAGTCTTGTGTTATCCTGCTAAATCTTCCTCATCCCCTTGCCCACAGCATCTTTCACAAACACCCAAGGCACCTTGACACCCATTGAAAGTAAATCAGTAATATTAGCCCCATAATGACTAATAGTCATTAAGCACTACTCAGCACAGTGGGAAGTATGCTGTAATGCACATCCATGGAAAATTTTACAACCCTGCACTAGTAGAAAAAAACCAAAATAACAAGAAATTCTTAAAAAGAGCTTGTGTTAGAGGCTGGGTTAAACAATGCAAAATTTGCATTCTCCTTTCTCATTTTGATTTACAAACCCCGTGGGTTTTTTAAGGCTCAGGAATTTTTCATCAGTCAAATGGTTTCCTGATAAAGCATTTGATAATGTTGTACTTTTTGCCTTCTTTAAATTATTTTTGTCTGATTTTGTTATGGACCATATCAAAAGATCCTCTATCTACATGGCAAAGTCTAACAAGGAAAGACAGAGGGCCAAGCTAAGAAACCTGCTACTTTCTGCCTTTAGAAACAAACCAAAGGCCACCCCAAATTTCTACCTCAAAAAAACTCCCAAAAAACCCAACCAAAACCCAACCAAAAAAGGTTTTGTTGCCAGACGAAAATATTCAAGGTGTCCTTGGCATCAAAGAGCAGCAAGTCAGATTAGCATAAGATTTTACTTACATCTTCCATACCTGCCACAGTATTTTGTACACACTTTTCAAAAAATATCAGTCTTGAAGAGTCATGTCCTTGCATTCCTTTGGGGATCAGGGCTGCTGCATACAAGCAGACAACACAGGTTGGGGCAGAGTTCTTGCTAGAAACATCTCAACAAAATAGCACAGGACTGTTGCAGACATGACTTTGGTGCAGAGGAATCATGCTGAAAATCACAAATGAACAAACTCGCATTGGGAACAGGTCATATTTCACCAACACCTTCCTGACAGAACAGTAGAGATGAAGAGGCATAAAAGTAATTAAGAAACAAAAGTAATTAAAATACAACACCCTCTGACTCTTTGCAACCTTAAGGACGTTATTCAGGCAAATATGTTTTACTGAAATTTTGAATATCATTTAATAAAATATTTGACTTGCTAAGTTTTTAAGACTAGCATGTATTTTGTCTTACAACAACTCATGCATAGCCAACCTGAATTATGCCTCCATATCTCAACTTCTTCATATTACTATGATGCCAGTGCTTTCGTCTTCTTAATCCTTGCTCCAGCCCTCCTTACATTTTTACTCCAACTGCAGCCCTCCCAGAAAACAAGAAAATAACAGGTAAGTCAATAAAAGTTCAGGGAACTGGCCACTTCCCTAGAGTCATAGCCAAAATGACTCCACCAGACTATTGAATTCTCAGGCATCAAATGAAACACATGCAGGACAGCTTCTGTTTTTTCCCTCCCTGTGAAACAACAACAGCAAAAATGGGTTTTCGGGCTGTAAAGAAGGCGAGCTTCAGAAGGCTATTCATGGAAGACCAGTTTCCAAAGTTTGAGTCATCTGTTCAGGGTAATAGTCAGACACCATTTAATGCCCAGAACAATGTTGCATAGTGTTATTCAGTACAACCCTCTGCAGTCATGTCCAGTTTCTCAGACCTACAGTTGTCGTATTTGTTTCTGCCCTTCTCTATAGCACAAGCTATAGAAAGATCCTTTTATGTCTCCCCTACCTCATCCTTTCCCCTCAAATATTTTTCTTGCTTTCATTTAGTCTTGTGGCCTTTATGTAATATTTCTGGGTTTTCAAAACTCTTCTAGTCTATGTGCACGGTTTACAATATATCCCTTTAGCTCTTTTTTTGTAGAGCTGTGTTTGCAAATGGATGAATCATAAATCTCATATTTCTTCTTTTTTTTTTTTTTTTTTTGAGAAATAATTTCTACTGAAAATGTAGAGGAGTAGCAGTTTAGGTAGAGAGTTTATGGATATCTTAAGTCTGGGCGCAAAGTTAAATTTGAGGTCAAACTTCCACAGTCCTGGCAAGGTTCAGATGTAAACTGGGGACAGGCAGAGGAGATGAGAGAAGGGTTGACTTCCAAGGAAATGCACGTGGGCACGTGTCTGTTTTCAAGTGTTTGGGCACGTGTCTGTTTTCAAGTGCAGTTCCATCATGGAATTAGAACTGTAGGCATTAAATAAAAAAAATACTCTCTCCAGTATCTGTCAGAATAAATAATCTGAAATTTCTGCTTCACTGAGAAGAGCTACACTGAGATAAAACCACTAATTGGTTGAGAAGTTCACTGAAGTTTCCAAATTGATGGTGTCAGATTGCTTCATCACTGAATGCCTTTGACACTGATTGAATAAAATGTTTGTTCCCAGCCTAGAACTACTGACTTGCACAGCAATCATGTAGCCAACCTAAGTGGCCTTATTTGCAGAAAGAAAGTCATCACAATGGGGCAGGCAGAGCCTTAAAGCACAGCTGATTCTGCCCATATGGGTTGCCAGGCAAAGGCTGGAACAAAGGGAAAAGCTGCCAGTAGGAAAGCCAAGACCAGGATAAATTGTGCAGAGATGCTTTTAAAAAAAACTGCCTCCCATTTGGGTGACTTGACATAGGGAGTGTAGGGAAGATACTGAAGGAGGCAAGTCCAAGTTCTGGAGAGGGAATTCAGTTTCACCACTCCCAGGATGGTGAAGCCTGAGAGGTGGATTGGAGCACCAGTTGCCTTCACCTGCTGGTTTGTGCACCTCTCACATTCTGTTAGTGAATCAGATATAACCTCCCTTGCAAACAACAGTGGTTGCTTCTCCTGTTAAGTTTCTGCTGGGACAAACTCGCAGCGGTGCTTCACAGAGGCAGTTTCAAAGGGATGGGGACACTACAGAGTTAAGCAGAATGACTCAGCAACAGCTGACAGGGTCTCAGTCCCATCTGCCCCAAATGAAGGTTATGGAAATCCTATTGAAACAGCCCATCTTTCCTGATAGCTGCTCGTTTAGTTTAGCAGAATGAGCAACCAAGCAAATATCTTACACATCTTATAGAACCATACTGATATTTTACCTGAATAAATCCCAAATAGCATACAATCTACTCCCCTCAGTTTATACAGCACTTAAAGCAAATTTGTGTATTTCAAAATACATTTTATATTGCAAATATTTTTACCAAAATCCATACTCCTTAAAACAGCTTAGAAGGTGATTTCTACCCTTCATCGAAACATCCAGATACCAAAACCATGAAAGAAACTTCCACAAAATGCATAACAAAGATTCTTCACTCATCTCAAGGCACCATAGACTTTAAAAAGAACCAGTCCAACACTCATCTGCAAAGCAACTATTGAGAGATAGCCAAATGTCTCTTTCCAGTAAGCCAGCTGTATTTTCTCACTGTAATTTGAAATTCTTCAGGTGTTCAAACACCTGATTCTACTCCTATTTGTAACAGATGAGTTTAAATAACTACCACATCCTGCTTCAGCTCACGATGGCTGACCAGGTTGCAGAAAAGCCCTTTTCCCAACTCTAGAAACTCAGGCATCAGAGAGACATGCTTCTATTCCTCTGGTATCAGATGGTACTTAAGAGTATTTCATCCTTAAATAAAAAACTGCTTTTGCCTTAAGACTTGAAAATTAGCAGTGCCCTGTGCTTTTGCCTGGCCACTCAGGTACCGGATTGCCTTTTTCCAGGGATGCCACTGTGGGGCTACAGTAGAAGGATAGTGCCTCACTGCTGCAGAGACAGCTCCTCTTCCCTTAGAGCTTCAAGGCTTGCAGTTTCCTGCTTGGGAACCTACAAACCAGTTTGTAAACTAACAAAAACAATAGAAATTGGGGCAAATGGTCTACTTTCATTCTCTGTTGAAAGTTTTTTTATTATTATTTTAAAGAAAGACTGGTTGAAGAGAGCAAAACTGGCTGACAGAATAAGCCTCAACAATTTTTTGTCATTTTACAAAGACAGTTTAAATCTACTTTTTAATATGCATTTCTAATCCTCCAAACTTCTTCAGTCTAATTCTCCTGACAACACAGTGGCTAGTCTCCAAGACTATATTTATTCTTTATCTGGTCGAAGAAAAGCTGTTGGGGAATGGCATATCAGACAGCAAGGCATCTATTTCAGTAACACTGTACCAGAGAAGGTCTTGAAGAGCACAAGATACGAAGGTCAAATTCTTCTCTTGTGCTGGGCTCTGGGGACCCCATTTTGGGGCTTCAGTTTTCTCTGCAGCGAGAATATCTGGGTCTATGAGAAGGGAGCAAGGGTGGGTGGGAAGTGAGCAAACAGTGCTGATGGCAGGGAATATATTTCTCCACTCTCCCCACAGGTTGCTGGTTGCTGTTCTCCTTTTGAGGAGAAAAGATCCTGTCTTTGTCCCTACTTACCTCCTTCAGATAAAGGTCCATCCAGAGAACAGGGCTTGGAAGTAGCTGAATCTCTTGCTGAGGAATTCAGTGTGGGTCTTGAACACAGCTGAGTCCTTCCTCCTAAGCTGCAGACTTGGCAGCTACAGTAAGCTCCAGCAGCTTTTCTGAGTAAAGGTGGAAAGGTAGATTATAATTCGTACTGCCTGCACTGTGCAGTTTGCCTACTCCTTCCCACCTCTTATTACCTTTTTAGACTTCAGTCTTTACTGCCAAAGACCAAATGTTTCTGCATAAACATTAAACAAAGGAAAAACACAATTATAACTCAGTCCAGGATGAATCCTGAAGTACTTGGTGGAAAGGGAGGGGGTGAACAATGCTGCTACCAATTTCTAACTTCTTTTTCAATTTCTTTTTATTTTTACTTTTCTCCCACAATTTTTGCAAAACATATTTCAAAATGTGAAAGTAAAAAAAAAAAAGGCTTCAAACTGATTAATTTTCTTGTGCTAACAAGCGTTTTAATCTAGGTTATTTTTGTCTTAAATAGGAAAAATATATTTTATCAGCAGTAGCAGAGAAGTGTTGTGTTCATGGAAAGAGATATGTCTACAAAAGAGTAGACACTTATAGTGAATATTTCTTCTTTAGAATATTCTTGCAAATATAGAATCATAGAATAGTTTGGGTTGGAAGGGACCTTCAAAAGTCACCTAGTCCAATCTCTGCAATGTGCAGAGACATCTTCAACTAGATCAGGTTATTCAGAGCCCCATCCAGCCTGGTCTTGAATGTTTCCAGGGCTAGGGCGTTCACCACCTCTCTGGGAAACCTATGCCAGTGTTCCACCACCCTTATTGTAAACAATTTCTAGTCTAAACCTACCCTCTTTCAGTTCAAAGCCGTTCTGCTGCTGCCTAAAGAAAATTCAGGGAGAAAAAAACTCTGAGACAATTTAGTTTTGAAGGTGAGATAAGGAAAGGGTTTAATTTGTACCTAGGCATAGGTTACAAGATGTGAGCCCCTGCTCTGTTACAGATGTTACAATTTATAATACTGCCTGTCCAATCAGAGATTTTTCCACCCCCTGGCTTTTGCCCTGGACCACCCTCAGTCACACCCCTTGGGAATTGGGGTTGAGGTCTCAGAGACCCTCTCTTCATCAATTTTGATCTTCTTCAGAGCACAAAGGGGACCAGTTCACCCAGTTTTTGACTGTACTCTTGCGGTTCAGGCCAGGATTAGATGTCCTCAAACAGAAGAGGCCTATCTTAAAGAGAGACCAAACATTTCTACTGGAATTCAGGGGATATTGATATGGGGAATTCAGGTAAAAGGGTTGGAGAATGTGTGTAGCTTCTACACTAAGAGTAAGGAAATAAGTGCTGCTGCTTCTAAATCTTCTAAATCTTCTAAATCTTCTACTATATAACTACTTATAAAGCTTATAAAAATTAAAAAAAAATCAAAAAAACAGATGGACCTTAAGGCATCACTGCCTTGACCTATCACTATACCCCTTGTAAAAAATCCTCCTCCAGTTCTCTTGGAGGACCCCTTTAAGCACTGGAAGGCTGCAATGACTCTCCCTGGAGCATTCTCTTCTCTAGGCTGAATGACCCCAATTCTTTCAGACTTTGTGCGTAAGAGAGGTGCTCCGGCCCTCTGATCATTTTTGTGGCCTTCCTCTGTACCCACACCATATCAACAAGTGTGATGCATTTCCCTATCCTGACTGGTATGTGAAATAGACTGTGATATTTGGAATAGAAGAGCAAACCAAATCACTGCAGCTGTGTTCAAGCCTAGACATTTGATATAGCAATATGGGGGAAAAGTGGAGAATGAGTTGTATAACTAGCAAGTTACATCATCTGTTGCTTTCCAGCCTGCTTTTCAAAGATCAACACTTTTTTGCTTTTTCTGGTTATTTCTGGGCTTGTGTATTTCTTTACTATTATGCAAATATGACTCCCCTTATCATTGAAGGATATCATATATCAGGAAATATAAAGAACTAAATAAATGCCTTGTAACTTGCATTCTTAAGCTACAGAAACCTCTGCAGTGTCAGGGACATCATCAGAAACACGTATAAGGACAAAGATGTCTGGAAGCTGATGGTTTTCAGATATTTATTCTTGCAATTCTTATGTTGCAATAGCATCTAGAATGGCTCTGCAGGTGGGCACCTCATCAGAGGATAATTACTCCTCACTCCACAACAGCTTTGGGTGAGAGATCTGGACTTAATTGCAATCTGAAAAGGAAAGCTGCATGGTACCCACTTAAGCACCGCTTTTTACCGTGGGTATCATAAGAAACAGAAAGTCATCAACTGTTGATATCCAGCAGGAAGGAGATCTCTGTGCATTCCTCTCTCACTGATGTTCCCAAAAGAATCAAATAGGTTCATACAGAACTAAACAAAAGCAAAGCAAGTAATCTCTTCCAAATGTGATACTCAACAACACAGTCCTTGAAACAACCCAATACAGTGATCAACTACAAGGGTATTGGTTCTTTCCAACTTCACTAACAGATTATGTCATTCTCTCCCTCCCTCCACCTTTAGACCCCTTCCTCCCCAACGTTAACATTTTTTCATGGTTTCAAACTACTTTTGATGCCAAAAATCTAGTCCATACCTCTGACATCAAACATATTTGCTGACTATACACACACAGTGGGTGACATAAGAAGACTGTTAGGTATGAAGTTAGCTTGGGGATATTGCATACCCTGCTGATTATCAAGAACAATTTCCAAGGCGGGAAGTGCAGGGGGAGAAAGAAAAAAAAGCTTTAAAAAGCTATCTGCCCCTCTGATTTTCAGCTCTTTGAAAAAGTAAGAAAGAACAGAAAAGCACCCCTGGTGTGTGGTTAAGATAACTACAAAGGAACTATTCTTAGCAGGTTCCTTCAGTAAAATGAAGGGTGCTTTTATCGCATTTTTTGGCCTTGCTAATCTGACAGATATTGATGGATAATTTGGAACAGCCAAAATCTTTGTTCTAAAAAACATTGACTCATATATGTTACATCCAGATGTTTTACTGGTTTCTTAGTAGATATCAAAGTTTCCTTTAAACACTTGTAAGTTGCATTTTATACATTAAAGAGTGTATGCATGCACGGGAGGGAAATGATAGAGAGAAGTTCCACTAAGAATAGCTTAAAAAAGAATTTTTATACCCTTCAACGCACCAAATACAACCACTCCCAGCACTTTGTTTCTGCCTAATCAAGTTTGAAAATTAACAGAACCAAGATTCTTAATGAGCAATTAGGGCCTTGCAGGCTGGTCTCTCCAAAAGGTACAGGAGCTTGTATGTAAACACTCCAGTGCTGACTTCCCCACCACCCCCTGCCCCAGAGACAGGGCAGCAGCAGAAACCACCCAGCCTGCTGGAGCCAGCCGGCCCCACCTGGCTGCCCAAGCAGGGACATCCCTGTGATTCCTGACAGCTGGCCCTTCATCTCTTCCATAGGTAAAGGGGTCCAGTGTCCCACCTCTACTGGGATTTAAGAAAGGAAAAATACTTTCATCTGAGAGCACATGGGAAAGGCACCCCCCCACACCAGAAGCTGCTTTTTTTAGTAAATCATGAATGAAAGCAGCAAAGCACACATGCGAGCTCTCAGCAGTGCTCTTCTCCCTGACAGTGCCCCAGCCAGTACCACCAGAGAGCAGCTTAACAGGCGCATACTGAAATTAAAGAGCCAATTCCATGTGGGAAATAAAGACATGCAGACATCAGACACAGAACAAGAACAGAGGCAGCAGGTTGCAGTAGGGGTTTGGGAAAAGCAATGTGGCAAAACTCGCAGAATTTCCAAGTCATTTGGTGTTGTTGCCCAAGCCTGATTCTCACTGGCTCCTAATGGATGAAGTTTTATATACTGGCTATTCTGCTTTGCAGCCACTATGGGACAAACTCAGTAAAGACTGTATTCATCCCTTTATAAGGTAAACAGGCCATGAGTAAATACACCATTCTTCCCAAGATGAGTAATATTCTTCAAGCAGTGTTTTAGTAGAGAATCCTCCTAGTAGAAAACAAGCAGACAAATAACAATGCATATGCAACGTGACAAGTATCAAGCATAGACAAAATTTCTGATCTGTCAGGAAGGAGTCAGCTGCTGCCAAGCATTGCTTTTCCTTACTCAGCATGTCAGTGGAATCAGTCAGTCACTGACAGAGGTATTGCAGCAGCAAAAAGGATCTCCTGGGCAAGCAGAATCAGGCCATGTCTCTGTGACTGTTTGCAATAGTATAAAGAGTTTGTTAAATATTAAAGTCAGGAAATTTCCAAAGTCAGTTTTAGACAGTTCACTGGTGAGAAAGCTACTCAGCCACAATGCTGACTGCTGTTCTATTTTAGACTAGTGTAGTCTGAAAACAAAAACCCCAAGGCATTAGCATCACTAGTGCCAGCCTTAACTTAGCTGGTAGTGGCCCAAAGTGTACTTGATGGCTACTTAAAAACGGACTCCCATCCTCGTGCTCAGCACAAAGTCAGCCACAGGAACACAGGAGCTGGGATCTCAACACACAAGAGAGTCCATACTGCAATTAGAATTCCCTTTTCAGTCTCAGAGATGTTACATAAAACATAATCATGAAGTTTCACAGGACTTATTTTTACTCCATTGCTTTTGAAATCCAAACGCAGAAGCACAAGCCTCTTTCCCAAACCGTGGATGCCAATTCCTCAACAGTTACATGCTATGCTGAAGGTGAGCTAGTAAACATCTACCCTTAGCACCCATTGTCAGCAGCCACCCAGAGAAAGCAGCCTCTCCTCCCATAGCTGGGCTCACACAGGTGGGAATGCAAGATCCAGGAGCGTTTTCATTGACCCTGTGAAGTGCAGCACAGGAACAGAGGTTCCCCTGGGCCGCCCCACCAGCAGAGCTGAAATCCTCTGGAATTGTTCAGAGAAGTTTCAATCATTTACATAAAGGCAAAGACAACAGCTGTGCTCATAAAGATGGATTAAAAAAAACCCCAAACCAACTATTAGAAAAATGTACTCTTTAAAAGACCTTTATTTTGGTTGCACAGTTACAATTCTAATGTCCATTTATGCTTACAGTTAGATTGTTCCCAAATAATATTTCATAGGTCATCATGTAAACAGTGCATTATCTATCAGTCTGGTGTATAAGAACGTTATAAAATACAGATGAAATTACTTTTTCATCTATAGACTTTCAAATTAGTTCACCAAGATCAATTAAAAAGGCAAATAGATTAATTGACAAAAAAGTGTTATATTTTTAATATATTAGTACAAAATGGCACAAAAGGAAGAAGGTCATTTTAAAGGCCGTAAGCATCAAACGCCTTAAAGAGTTTCAATCAGTTCAACCGATTTTAACTTAATTTCAAATTCCAGTGTTGAACTTGGAATTGAAATTGTAATCATAATCTTTTTCTCTTCAGCTGTATGAAAGACCTTATATACGAGGTTGGACCTGTTCATGGAAACTAAATCACAGCAGTTTCAGAACAGTGACATTCAAGTGCAGCTAGGAAGTTGGGAATTTCTATTTTTCCCAGTAACTCTAAGAATTCACAGACTAGACCTTATTTTCATTTAGCCAAACTCATTGATCCACACTTCAGATGCAAAGATACCAGATGTGTGCACATAAAACACAATATTTCTTATTGCAAGAACTGAAACAAAAAATTGACATAATTACACTATCCACCCTACCTACCTTTGCAGGAGGTTCCAGACATAAACATATCCAGTGCCAGATACAGAGAAACAAGAGCATCTAAAATATTTCAAGAAAACTTAGAAGGCTTAATTCACAGGCTTCAAGTATAAAAGAGAGATCACACCAACTTCAGCAACCTAAGTTTTATTTTTGAACCACCCATATCAAATGGGCAGGTGAGTTGGATGGAAGGGAAACAGACAAGGAATACATTTCTAACTTAAAAATAAATTCTGAGATGTGAATTTGTTGCCTCAAGCAACAATTCAGCAGTTTGTTTGGCAGCAACATTTAGCAATATCCCAAAAGATAATTACCCACTCTGTCAAAACAAATTATCATGACTTTGATTAGCTCCCTAAACCTTCAGAGGTTTTTATGTTTAAGTTAACAAAACAGTTTATGATCTTGACTGCTTTTTTCTTGTAAGACAGCACCCACATCCAAGAGGGCAGGCAGTTATACTGATGGTAATACTGAGAACATTGTTTCTCAGGTCAAAACAAAAAGTCTTATAAAAAAAAAGTGAGATGAAGTACAGAATTAATATTTTACTCAGCTTCACAATGAGCAAACCATGACTAGGAATTTCCTTTCCTAATTTAAATACCAATTACAAAGCTTTCTCCAGAGAC